AGAGAGAGAGAGAGAGAGAGAGAGAGAGAGAGAGAGAGAGAGAGAGAGAGAGAGAGAGGATGTGTGTGTGTTTGTGTGTGTGTGTGTGTTTGTGTGTGTGTGTGTGTGTGTGTGAGAGAGAGAGAGAGAGAGAGAGAGAGCAGGTGACTTGTCAGATCCGTTCCTCTGCAGAAAGCACTGTTGGAATGACTGGTTCAGTAAACCTTCTAAGGCGCTGATCCGACAATACATAAAAGAGGAAAAACAAGAAAGTCCCTTGAAAGATGGACACGGGTAGTACGGGGCAGAAAAGCAAACTGGGACCCCACGCAGGCGGGTTCGGCGGGTCTTTTCCGAGTACCACGCGGGTTTGTTTTGGGCTTCCACGGAGACGTTCCTGTGGTCTGCCATATGGCCTGGCCTCCTCTGCTCCACAGATGGACATTGTAAAGGGCGACTCATGATTGTGGCAGCCTTCTTGGTAGGGGTAGGGGTCCTCGACCTTTCCATTTTATGTAGCGATGTTGGGCCCTTCATCACGGCTGACGTGCCATGAACCGTACACATGAACCAAAAACGTACCCCTCACAAAGAGTGGCGCCCTGTGATTTTGGAAAGTGGTGGGATCCACGTTTCTCAACGAAATTGGATAACTTATGCACTGTCGGATCAGCAGCTAAACCACTACCGGAAAACTGGCAGATTCCCATTTTCTGCGAAGCTTTCGGGGTCTGGCGGAGGGTGGGTGGCATGTAGGCTGTGGGCCGTTTTCAAGAGGGAAAAACCAAAAAGAAGAAAACAACTACATTGGGAAGGGCTGAGAATGAGGTTTCCTCACACCAGTTCGCTGCCTGTCAGGGTTGTGTTCGCTGCCCATCAGGGATTCGTTATATCCCCCTGAGACTTTCAACGTCATTGAAATTTCAACATCGGTGGTCATTGGGGAGGGTGGGCATTTTGAGGTTTTGGGGTCTTGCAAGGGGCGGGACCGCCTAGGACCGGTAGCTGCCCGTAGAAGGCTGAGGAGGCTGTGCCTGAGACTTTCAACGGGCATTTTGAGGTTTTGGGGTCTTGTAAGGGGTGGGACGGCGTAGGACCAGTACCTGCCCGTAGGAGGCCGAGGAGGTTGCACCTTAGACTTTCAACGGGCATTTTGAGGTTTTGGGGTCTTGTAAGGGGCTGGACCGCGTAGGACCGGTAGCTGCCCGTAGGAGGCCGAGGAGGCCACCCCTGAGACTTTCAATGTCATTGAAATTTCAACGTCGGTGGTCGTTGGGGAAGGTGGGCATTTTGGGGTCTTGCACGGGGCGGGATCGCGTAGGACCGGTAGCTGCCCGTAGGAAGCTGAGAAGGCTGTCCCTTCAGACTTTCAACGTCATTGAAATTTCAACGTTGGTGGTTGGGGAGGGTGGGCATTTTGAGATTTTGGGGTCTTGCAAGGGACGGGACCATGCAGGACCGGTAGTTGCCCATAGGAGGCCAAGGAGGCTGCGGTCCTTGAGTTTTGCACATTTCGAAATTGAAATGGCACTGGTCTACTTTTTTCGAATAGTAGAGAACTTTGAATAGAACATGAACACGATGTACTCGAATACGTGAACACGGTCCTTGAGTTTTCTTTTTTTTTTTTCAAAATACCCCCTGCAGTGTTAGTGGTGCTGATAAGAGCAGACACCACTAGTACCTGGGAAGAGGCTCCATCTGTTGGTGGGGAGCTTCACCTGCTGGAAAACAGGTCCAGCGTCCCATATACAAAATTGAAGAGCATGAACAGACGGGATGAGAAACCTGCCAGCATTGATTACTCTGGCTTCCAGAGGATTAACTGCGCAGGTTTGTTTGAGAACACAGTGAAGACAAGAAATCTGAGAAAGAACCGTGCCAGCATTGATTGCTCTGTTCTCCTAAGGATTGACTGTGCAGGAGGAGGATACCTCTTCACCCTGAAGCAGGCGCCAGGTATCTACGACAATAAAGCTGGTTCTTCCTTCTCCCCTTTTTTGCCCATTCTGTTTTTTATGGCCCCCGCTCAAACTCTCCCATACCATTCCAGACCTACCAAGCAGTTGGAGGGGGGGGGGAAGGGGTCGGGGAAATCTAAGCTGGGTCTCAAGGGAATTGCTGAATCGATCTTGGTCCACTCATGAAAAAGGAGCCGGTAATCCCTCACCAGGTCCCTCCTCCCTTATCCCTCCCCTGGATCACATTGTCCACCTTTCCATTCCACTTCCCCTATTCTCCTCCCATTTTCCCCTCCAAGCCAGCTCAGGCTGCATTCCTTGATTTTTTGTTGGACATCTTTCGGTGAGTGCAGTGGCTGGATCCGCGACCTGACTTTTTTCCATTGTTCTCTTATTTCAGTTTGGATCTGCTGCTGAATGCTTTCCGTGAACTCTGGGCCTTCCAGCCTTGCGCTTTCCATTTCATATGTGCAGCGCCGTCGCCAGAGGGCCCAGAGCACCGCCCTGTGACCTGCTTTGAACATATTACTTGTGAAATAATCTAGCTGGTCCGTAGAGTAGGCTTCACATAACAAGGTTTTCCAGTCCCACGGCTACCGGATCTGGGTCTCTAATTGGTTCCATATTCTGTCCCACCATCTCCACAGCCACACTGCTCCCGGGCATTGAAGAAATATGTGTTCTATTGTTTCTGGTATTTTTCTGGGAGGGAATGCATCGGTGCAAAGCCTACACCAGGGGAGGGCTAGGCCTCTCTGTTCCAGGTTCGTTCTATCTATTAGCCAATCGTTTGTCGGCAGGCAGCGGTGCTCGATCTGCCATTGCAGTGAGGCAAATTTTGTTGGTTTTTCCTTGATGTTACATGCACAGATATGTGATGTTTGGAATAACCAAGGAACTGCAATGTGACGAAAAGGACTGAAATGGACAATGCGGTGAGAGTAGAATCTCGACAGACAATGTGCATTCTCATACATACAAAAGTGCTGAATAGCGCAGGGAAGACTTAGATACAAAGACTGACCTGACAAGGACTGACCTTACACACGTAGTAGCAAGTAGCGAAACAGACTGCTAGAATGTTGATAGCTAGTCCAACCGATGGTTGAACTCAGACCAAACATGCATCGTACCCCTCACCAGGTGTGAAGGAGCCTGGCGCTGCACACAGGAAGAAAGCGCCAGGTCCAGACATGCATAGACGAAGAGGTAAGGATCAGACGAGAGGAGGGAGGAAGATGGGAGTGTCGTTAACACCAAGTCTTTGTCACCGATCCCAAATAACCCCTCGTTGTCAGGTCTGAATCCCCAAAAAGTCGAGTCTTGGATCCGATATCACCAAGCTCGGTAYCTCTTCTCTCGCAGTCTGCAAATGCAGTGAAGTCAAGGGTTGAGAGGGAGAGAAGGAGATGGTGGACTGAGAAGAAGAGGAAGAAGGACTCTCTCTCTCTCACTGTTACGAACCAGGTACTAACCTGTGATGTGGCGCTGTGCTGCAGGTACCTTGAAGACGAAGCTGGAGCAACGGCGCTGCAGGTAGGTACTCCTGGCCTCCGCCCAAGCTCTCTCTCTCTCTCTCTACCACTATCCTAGCTATGGCGCCCAGCGCCGAAGGCTACTAGCYAACACTACCACTACTATAACGCARCGCTCCCTCCAGAGGGCTGCTCCYGAATCCTGAAGACTACAACTGCCGACTGCCCTTTCCTCCTGTAGGGCGGGCCAGTCCTTTATAGTGCTGGCCCGTGCAGGAGGCTGGTCGTGCCAATGCCYTATGTGCAGGAGGC